AGACAGTTGTGGTGTATATTGCACTCAATAAAGATGGTCTTGAAGAAAGTTGTGAAATTTTGAAAATCGATGCCACTTGCAACTCAACGTAATGGTGCACTTAACCTTCGCGTTTTTCACAATTATTAATAGCTCCCTTGTTTTGAGAATTGTTTTCCCTTTGACAACGCTGTGTAAATGTACCACGGCACGGCTAGAAAATTCAAGCGCTCTTGCTAGTCTTGCGTCTGTGAACGGATGGAGTAGTGAAAAATGTTGTATTAGTACATGATACAGATACATGGACCTTACGACTGGAGCAGTGCTGAATTATACATCAAATTCATAACTGACAAATCAATACTTTGAAGGAACGGTAATCATAAGCACTTTTTTCAGAAAACAATTGCAGAGGCAAAGGCTGAAATCTCAGAATTACTCACGAAAATAAAAGTACGTCTTTCTCTTTATCTGAAGAAAAAGTTTAGCTCAGACAAAGTCCTATTTTCCGGGCGGCTCCTATTGTTGAAACTTACTAAAAACCTCAGAAAATATTTAAAGGAAGTAATTGCGGTGGTTGATAGCTGGACGCCAATGGTGGAAGGGCGCTAGGAAGAGGTCTTAATACCTCCTCACCGGGCACTGAGGAGTCTACTTCACCAGTAACGTGAACATCTGTCGAGAAAATCCTCGACTCGTGAAGGAGCACATCAGTGACATCATGGTGCTGACAAGAGCGAGAGGGTGTAGCGCAGCAGAACACGAGGATATGCGAGAAAACATGACAGTTGATAAAGAGTTGCCTACGAATGAACTTGCATTGGTAAAAAGGAAGTCACTTTTTGAGTGGTCAAAAATCGCCCTTGATAGAACCTCGACGCAGATATGTCCTCAACTAAGAAATATGGAGAAAAGCTAAACGGAATTATAGAAAGCGCAAACTTCGCTTTTTAAAACATCTACTCTTTCTCGAGTTCTCGCAAAATTAGAGAGATATGGCCTTTAAATGGCAAAAACTGAAAATTTCGGCGTCCTTCACCCTGACTCGGCGCAGTTCGAGCGACGCTATCTGTAAATGTTTAAGACATTTTAAAGGACGAATTCACGCTGGGAAGGCAACCCATTTCAAATTAACTCAGGGATGGTGATTGGTACACGAAAGAAGGAAGAACCATGAGAAACGGCCCAGAACCCGAGAAATGGACCTTTAGCTTACTCCGCATGCTACACGACTGATGCGGCTCTTACGTACTTATATCCAGTTTCCTACGCCGGTCCTGGCGAGACGCCGACATGTTCAATCGAACGAAATGACCCCTTCCTTCCCCGTGATTTGCGCATTGATGCGACTCTTATCGCTGTGCCCTCCTCAACATCACGCTCTCTCTGCTATCTAATCAATCCCACGTATAGATCTGCGGCGAGTGATCAGCTGGTCGGTGGGCGGAGATCCAGACCCGCCAACTTTGAGGCATAATAGGTCGCCGAGGTCAAATTTTTCGATGCGAATTGCGCATCAGTTCGCACCCTCAGGAGGTCCGTGGGTTACTCAACTAGGTGAATTACTTTCCTCGACCTCCATTCTAATCGTAAAATCCTCCTTTAACACTGGCCGGTAACGAGGAACCTACCTCCAACGAACCTACCACATACTTTCCAAAAAGTTACGAAATGATGGGATAGTACCTTTTCAACGAGGGTGTATTATAGATTTCCGTGGCTTGGAGAGGGGGTCTCACCATGTCTGACACAGGGATTAACTGCTACGCAGCTCAGGTCCTGCTGGCCTGTTCTCGTGAACATGAACTTACATTCTCGGGCGTTGTTTCAAAGACCGTGTTATTTAGTGGGTCGTACTGGCTGCGAATCCGATCCTCGACAACGAACTTTCCCCTAATGTCACCGACCAGTGAAGGTCAATGACATCAATCGAAAGGAGCACCACCCTTGCGCTCAGTAATGCTGTGTTGTGTTAAAAGATATTAAATGGAAGGACATGTCCTTCAGGTCAAATACTGGGTATTAGTAATAATAAATAATAATACTACTAAATATTAATACTACTAATAATTTTTTTACAGTCTTTTGAAATCCGTGATGAACTCACCCGACTGAGTTCGTCGAAGGTTTGAAAATCGTTCTGTATTTCGAAACACCATTTGAAATTCAGTAATTGGGTGTTACATGTTACTGGGCCAGCTGTGCGCTAGTGTTTTATCCAATGAGGCTATTTTTGTGTGGCCTTACCTAAGTTCCCACATCACCGAAAATAACGACGGCTTGTGAATCGTGGCATTTTAGAGAAAAAGGAAAAGATAAAGAAGGATTGCCATTAGCTTATGCAAATATCCACAGGTTTATGATCAACGTGGCACCAGTTTCGTTTTTCGAGGAGTATGAATCCAACTGAAAAAGCCTCTTTTAGCTCAAGGCGAAATACTCGTGTCGCACCCGGATTCGCTTGGAGCGATCCTCGAGCGATTCGCGAATCGCGGGACTCGCTCCAAGGGAATCCCCGGGTGCGCCGGTGCCTGCGGGCGAGTTGCCGTCATGACCCCTATCTACTGTCTTCGTGATCGCGCGGCAACGTGCGGTGCTGTTATCGACAGCAACATCACGATCCCTCCCGGGTACCATTCTCTCTCTCAACGGGCCAATCCACTCGTCTTCTTCTCAACATTCGCACTGCAGCCCCGCAGGGCTTTGGGCCCTTAGAACTAACCTGGACATTATATTCTGGACCTCTATCTGGAATCTAAATTCTTCCTCTACAGTTGGTCTCCTGACGGGTCCGAGGTAGAGACCCGACGTGAGTTCTCTTCGTTACTAACCTCTAAGTGTACACTTAGCTGACGTTAGGTGAACAACGAGTAGTCCATAAAGATACGTTTATGTGTTGTTAGTTGTAAGAAGGTGTAGTCCTAGTTTACAAGGTATTTGACAGCTCATTGATTTCCAGTTGTGTCAGAAGGATGGTGGTGGAGTAGGTGTAGCCATATGGTAAGGGTCATAGTTCACGTATCGATCAGGGCTGGATGCCCAAGTAAAGTAGAGGTTGATGGGAAGCACTTAGCCTCAAGGGTTTTGGGAGTTGTGTCCCTCAAGGGGTTCGCGCTTAGGAAGCTCACGCGTTCCTCTTCAGGTTACGTGGGTTTCCACCCTGCGGTCACCGATTCGCAACAAGAAAAAAAAAAAAAAAAAAAAAAAAAAAAAAGAAAAAAAAAAAGAAAAAAAAAATCGCCACTGTCTGTGACAAAAAGGCCCAACTTGCCACCTCACGCCTCGTCTGCCCATTGAAAAAGGCAAACATCAACATCAACATGGCTCAAGATGGGTGTGGATGTGGGAGCTTTTCTTCCGTTTGACCATCTCCTCGTTTACAGAGGGCCTCTTTAAAGCCTTCTCGGGAAGACCCCCTTTAACTGCAACTCCATAACAATGCAGGCAGTATTTTGTATTATAATCAAAACTGTCAATCTCAATAGGAACTGCACCTGATGGGTCTTCCGGATTTGCAAACATTTTTTATTTTCTTCAAATGTAAAATGTCGAGCGAAAATGAAAGATATCTGAAATCCTACTATATATAAGCGGCTAGCGTGTGTCTGTTGGTGTGTGTGTGTGTGTGTGTGTGTTTGACCGGAAATTCATAGCTCGAGTCACAGTAACGATAGCGCAGTGGTTCTTACATATGTTATAGGGGGTGGGATGGGGACACAAGTGGTACGTGATAGGAACTGATAACGACTGATAATAGCTGATAAGAGGGGCTAGAAAGCGAGCATCGCCAATTTCGTTTTGCCGTTCATATTGGTAAAGAGCGTCTATACTTACAAGTGTTATGTGGGGCGGTCCCGGGACATTGGTGGTACATGATTGGAAGCGATAGCAACTGATAATGGCTGATAAGATGCGCTAGAACGCAAAAGTCGTCGATTCCGTTGCCTGGCTCGCGTTGACACCAGAGCAACCATTACAAGTGTTATGTGGGGTGGGACGGGGACATTGTTGGTGGGTGCCAGAAACTGATAACGATTGATAAGGGCCGATAAGGCGCGCCAGAACGCTGAAGTCGTCGATTCCGTTGCCTGGCTCGCGTTGACACCAGAGCAACCATACTTACAAGTGTTATGTGGGGTGGGACGGGGACATTGTTGGTGGGTGCCAGAAACTGATAACGATTGATAAGGGCCGATAAGGCGCGCCAGAACGCTGAAGTCGTCGATTCCGTTGCCTGGCTCGCGTTGACACCAGAGCAACCATACTTACAAGTGTTATGTGGGGTGGGACGGGGACATTGTTGGTGGGTGCCAGAAACTGATAACGATTGATAAGGGCCGATAAGGCGCGCCAGAACGCTGCAGTCGTCGATTCCGTTACAAAGCGTTGACACTGGAGCGTTCCACTACAAATTGTGTGCTTGCTTAATAGAATGCATAAACCTAAACTTCAGCAAATGATAAGGTTCATTTCTGACGCACTATCAAGAAAACCCAAATTCATTGAACCGCTAATCCATTTCGGGGTTCTAAATAATGGTGAATGTAAATGAATGATAAGCATTAGCTCCTCACTTATGTAAATAGGCATATTTCGTTTTATTTTGAGACTGACAGCAATCCTATTCACCGCTAAATTATCTTAATTCAAGAAAAATGCTGGATGTTTACAGAGTTGTGATCAATATACCAGTTCAGCTCAGACGTTATCACGCGTATTCTCGATGAGCTTCAGTGAAACTGTGGAGGGTCTAACACAGTCAATAGTGAGATGGTTAATGGAGTATCTCATGCTGATATTCCATGGGTCCTCCAATTTCGCTAAAGCCTGCCGTGTATGCGCGCGATAGCGGGCGAAGCAAAACTGGTTTATATATTCCAAATAAGGGGAAGTGAAAAAAGGAGTTTACAGATAAATGTGCCTACAAAACATTGGACACGTACATTTTTAGTTCACCTACCAGAGTAATATTTTCTTCGTGAATGAATTTACCTTTAGGATCACATGAAGCTATTAACCGAATGCGATTAGCTGACCGCAATAAATGGAAAGATTTCAATAAAACAGTAGAAGAATTAGAAGTTGTGGTAAGTTTTTGAAGATAGTTCAGTTTTCTGCTCAACGCACACTTTCGATACGTAGCATACAGGTACTTGTAGGGAAAAATAAGGTGACATGACTACTTCAGAAAGCAAGAGCACTGAAGGAAGAGAAGAAACGCCAGCGGGATTTGGAGCGAGCACGAGAGCGTAGGGAGCTCGAAGAAAGTAGGAGGATGCTTTAGCTCATTCTGTAACTATTGGTTTGCCTCATAATTCCTGTCCGATTTCTCACATTTAAATTTTTTTCTCAGATTGTTTCTTTGCAAAATAGTTCAATATGTTGAGAAATGTTCAAGAGCCTCACAAGATAGTTTCAAAAGAGCAAGCCCGCAACGGAGGAAAGGTTTAATTTAAAGGGAGGGGGAGTTTCAAGTGACCTTCACTAGACCTTGGTAGAATCGAATGAACTGATACCAGCTTTTGCCATCTCTGTTTGAGATGCTGAAGCTGAAGTCTTGATGAGAAGCCACTCTGTCAAATATTAGAAATAGAGGCCTGGACTAAATCTGTACACGAATGCTCGATCAAGACTTCTGGGTCAAGGCATGGAGTCCGGCCACTGTAGACGCGTCTGGAGATCCTCTGAGAGCCACCTTCACGGTTTCACCAACATGGAGTCAGAGATTCCTCAAATTAGTCAAGAAGGTACCCGCATGAAAGACGGTTTTCTCATGGGATTTTGTCATCTGCAAATCAAGCGTGGGCACTCATGGCCTTAGGAGGACATTCAAAACAAGGCATTCAAAAATCGCTGGTAGGTGACACTAGGACTAAGCCCAGGAGAGGGAGAAACGCCAGGGAAAAAAATTGCTCACATCCTCTCCCAGAATCTTTCCCCTCCCTAAGGCTTTGTCCCAAGTTCTGTAAGTGGCTCGCTCACCTCAATCCCCTCTGGCGACATGAGCACCCTAAGCGCAAATGTGTGTAGCGTGTACATAGCACATGCATTATGGTTAGTCTCTTTGCAGGAGGTTTCTCTTCTGTTCCTGTCGGCTCTCGTGAAGCCACCACTGGGAAAACAGAAGGCTCCAAAGAGTATGTTATCTTAATAGCCGAAAGTTTTCGTAAGCTATCCTCCTCTGACGATGATTCTTCATGCGTAATTGACTTTATCCAGGGGTCTAACACAGTTGTCCAAGGAAAAAAGCGTGGCGAAGACCGAAGAAGCGTCGAAGTTCTCATCCGTATCGGTAAGCTCTTTTGTCCTTGGGATTTGGGAGCCCGATCGGTGACTGAATGCAAATCCTAGTCATATTTTTAGTACTTTTCTGGCGTTTATCTCTTCCTAGATTTCTTTTTCTCTCTAGCGTCAATCACACATCAAACATCGTCACCACTTTCTTCTGCCTAGGGCATCTTCTGCCTGCTATGCCCGTGACTTCCAGGAGTCCTTTACCTCATCCTCGACACCTATGCAACCACCCACGACAGTAGAAGTTACCTAGGTTCAAGTTTATCAGCGACTCTAGCAGCCGACTCCAGCACATATCTCTAGCGCCAGTTATGGCTTCAGAGTGTATTAAAACCGATTTTCAAACTGGATGGGTTCAATAGCAGGCTGAAGATTAGCCTGCCGCACCAGGGTCCATCGGTAATCATCAAGGGGAGTCTATCAAAAATGGGAGGAAGCAAACAAAGGCATGGAGCTATGAAAAAAACAGGCAACGAATAATCGTGCGTGACTGGCCATAATCGGTTGTTCGTGCTTGCTTGAAAGCAGGGTCACTCGTGGTGCTGAAGGGTTTGGACAATTTCT